CGGTCCTCCCAACTTCAGCTCTCTCTTGCCGTGCATATCGAGGTGAAGACTGTGGATGTTGTGGGGAAAAGCCTGCCCCCCCCCCCCCCAATCAACTTTCCGAGTACATCTTTACTGTAAAAAACTACCTCACTTATTTCACATATATGTGATATAATAGTTAACATTAATCTTGATGACTTGCTAGGAATTTGTCCAGATTGAGTGAAACCACAATAACCATATAAAATAAGTGTATTTTAGATGAGCATTATACTGTTCCTTTTAAAACTTTTTGATGGCTCCAAAAATATTTAGTAATGACTTTTTGTTCTAGTGCATCTAAAGCAGGATATGAAATGACAGAGAAACTAGTGCATATTTGCAATAAGGTTTCAATCTCTATGTTCTATACTAAAAGAATTATACATGTGATAGCCAATGTAAGGATATGCTGAAGCTACAGAAAAAACGCTTCGGAAAGAGTAAGATATAATAAGAGTTACGATATCTGAAACAGATTCTTTGTTGTTTGATAATGTACGTGGTAAGTATAGCAATGAGTGTTATTGAAAAAAAACATTTAAAATTTAAGCTCCATCAGAACAGAGACAAAAACACTGGTAAAACAGATTTAGCATGGGCCACAAAAAAGATATTTGTAAAAGAAAGAATAGTAATAACAATTATAAGAGCTGATACTGAATATGTTCCCCCAAATCTTAATAAGTTACACTAACTTCTTTCTGTTTTCTTGCAAGATATTGGCATAATCACAACCAAAAATAATGAAAGCATAGTTGATCGGAAGTGCAGCAGTCACAAACCTGCTCGATTCGACTCAACTGCCCAGGTTGGGTCATACCAGGTCCACAGCCTTGTCCTAGCTCTCCCACCGGCAGGCACTTGTCGCAACTCACTGCCAAAACCTGCCTGGTTAACACAGACACCTCTCAGCTCTCTGATTGGCTCCCCTCATTCCCTGTCAGCTTACACAGCCCCCATGTCCTTCAGCTTCAAAATTCCGAACCGAGATCATCAACCTAAGATCCTCCAGACAGCACCACAGCAAACAGCACCACCAAGAGGACTGCCGAGTCCTTTGCTGACTGGGGGCCTCTCCAACTCCCCCGCTGATCTCCTCATCACCTACAGCACCCTGCCATGCCTGTGGGAACTCACACCTACTACAAACACTTCCCAAAGAAATAACCTACTGGACAAGTGGTAGATGTATACCCATGTACTACAGAAGAATAAAAGGAATAGGAGGAAGAAGTGCACTTTTTTGTCACCTTGCACTAATCCTATTGCATAAATTGGCTTCTACTTTGATGAGAGGAAAGTTAGAATAGAAGAGAAACTAGTTATAGCGTGAAAAGCACATTACTTTGCTTAGGACTAGTGAACAACAATAATATTAAATGCAGCAAGGGGACTATGAATATATAGTTTATTTTGTGATGTGAAATTATCTTGCAAGGACCTCAGAACCTGTTAACAAAAATTCTTAATAATTCTGACTGATTTTTCTAAACAGTAGGTGCCAAGGGAAACTCCAAATTCAACCTTAATATAACAATACAAATCTTTTCTCAAGCTAATGATTATTCCTTAAATAGCTCCTGTACAGTAAAGAATACATTACAATATATATATATATATATATATATATATATATATATATATATATATATATATATATATATATATATATATATATATATATATATATATAATTCTGTAACCAATCACTTTCACTTGTACTCTAAAAATTACCCTTTGGGCCACTGCAGGACCCTTCCTCACCTTCAGTCGCCGTGACTGATCTTCCATGCAATCACACCTTGACTGTAGTTCATCTAGCCGTTGGTACAGGGCTTTATTGGCCTGCTGAAGCTGCTGAATGGCCTGCTCGTTCTCCTTCTGCTCAGCCTTCAGCCGTAGGACCTCCGTCTTCAAGGAATCCACTTCGCGCTGGGTCAGATCCAGGTCCTCCTTCAGCCTCTGCGTCAGTTCCTGCTCGCCCTCCACCTTAACACTTATCTTCTGCCCACAGCCATCACGTGCTTGTGAAGATTGCACGTTGTGGACCTTTATTGGCACCTGACACAATTCCATGCTAAACTTTCCGGGTTTGGCCTCCACTAACTCTTCTCCCTGTTGCTGCTGCATTGTGGGGACATCCAGCTTTC